TCAACACTCTCTCACACTCTCTCTCTCTCTCTCTCTCTCTCTCTCTCTCTCCCTCTCTCCTCCTCTCCCCCTCTCCCCCTCTCCCCCTCTCTTCCCCTCTCTTCCCCTCTCTCATAGTCTTTAGGGTTTTGTTGGGTGTGGCTCTGGAACTACACATGCCCATATGCTCTTCCCCTTCTGTTACCCCTTGGCACTAATGACCTTACTGCTTCCTCTTAGGTCATGAGTGGCCCTGATGCAGCTTCTGTTCTTTTCACCCCCTTACTTCTTGAGCCTTACTTCTTTATTGTGGTATGTCAAGTTGGAAAGATGCCACTGGGTTTTTTTGTTATTTGAGACAAGGCTTCATGTATCCTAGACTGGCCTCAAACTCATTATGAGGCTGGGGAGACCTTGAACTCCTTGCCCCTGCCTTCTAAGTAGCCAGTCCATGCAATGCTGGGGGATAGGCCCACTACTAACTGAGGTACACCCTCAGCGCCCTTTCCCTTTTTTCAGTATTTGGGACAAGCATGTGCTGACCTCCAACTGAATACTGGGTTCACAGGCATTCACCAACATGCCTTTTTTTTTTTTTTTTTTTTTTTTTTTTTTAATTTGAGACAGGATCTCTCTCTCTCCTCTGTTTCCCTCTCCTGCCAGCTCCCCATTCCTTCAATTTTCCTGCATTTTTCTGGTCTGTCACAGGAGCATACCCCCTGCCTTGCCTGTCCCTTCCTGTATTCTTTTCCAGCCTGCTTCTAACTCAGCAGCACATGGCTACTCATCTGGGCTGATACTCTCTCAGCCCCAGCACCCCAAGCTTCTGCTGCTTTGGGGCACTGACTTTATGGTTGGGGGTTCCCACTCTGCTCAACTGTCTTTGCTCTTCAGACTTACGCTTTCCAAACAGACCATTTCCTTCTAGAGACCAAAGTTCCTTTTACTTGGTGTCTTTGGAGGTCCTACATTACTCTGGAGCTGAAGGCTGGGTCCTTGGTACCCTTGATGCAATTTTCTTCTCTTTCTCCCATGGCTAGACATTGAGAGTCCTGTTGTTTCTCCTACTGTGAGTCTGCCTTTCTTGGGAAGGAAAGAATTTTCATTGTCTGTGCCCTGCTGATTGTTGAGCCAAGTGGGCATCAAATGGTATCCCCAGATGTTTGGAGAGATACAAGCCTGTCCAGGGTGGCTTGGGTGGGCAGGGGATGGAGACAGGATTTCAACCTGATGCTTAGGTCTCCTGCCTGTTCCAGCCTCCAAAAAGAAAGTTGTCCCCAGGGATGCGGCTGGGGAATAGTTTTAGCTTGGAGACTTATGGTTTCACGTCCCATTCCAAGTTGGCCTGTCTGTGCTTCCTTCCTCCAGCCTGAGATTGTTCTGCCTGGCCCTCTGGTCCTCTGCCATGTTCCTGACTCCTGTCTCTCCTCACTTCCTTCCACTCTCCTAGTACACAGTGTCTAGACGTGCTGCCCAGTCTCATTCCTTTCCCTTCCTAGTGCTGGAATATCCAATGCTCCCTTCATTTCTGTGTGGCCCTGTCATTTCTTCAGGAGAGCTCACCCAGACCCAGCACAGATGAACAGAGTATCGTCTTTCACAAAGCTTTTTGAGTGTTTGGGTGTTTTCCTTATATGTATGTTTGTGTTCCATACATGTATGCAGTACCTATGGAGTCCAGAACAGGATCTCTGGAACCAGAGTTATAGAATGTATTGAGCTGCCATGTAGGTGCTGGGAACCAAACCCAGGTCCTCTGGAGGAGCAGCCAGTGCTGCTGGGCCATCTCTAGTCCCTCATAAAGCTTTTTGAGGTTGCATGGTCTCTCTCCACCTCTGGCTGTTTGAACTTGAACTTCTGCAGTCTGCCTATCAGTCAGTTGCCTCTGGCTCTTTTCTCAGTTCATGGTTTGTTTGTAATTCCTGGGGAAATGGTATTGTACAGCCTGTGTTGTGTCCCAGTTTTGCTTTTTGCTGTCTGCCTCTGCCTTGTCCTCAGCACAACTACTGAGTTGATAGTACAAGTCCACAGGGGTGGGTGGGACACTCAGAACACAAACCTTGGAGGAGGTATCTCTTTTAGGGCAGGGCTACTAGATACAGTTGGATTCCTGCCTCCATTAGCCTGATGCCTAGCAGGAAGTAGGTCTTGGTGGAGGCTAGCTGCTAATCTCAGGTATAGCTGGAGGGCCTCTGGGGACAGAGGATAGACTAGCTTCTGAGTTTTTATGGACAGCTCACTGCCCTCACTATAGAAATGAAAAGGTCTGGGCAGTTTGGGCCCTGGACATTGCATGGGGATGAGCTGTAAAGTGGTGGAGGAAAAGCTGAGGTAGGCATTATTATCCATTTGCCATCTCTGACGGTTGCTAGTTGCTGGCAGTTAGCACCCAACTTGCTGGACCCAGGGCCTGGGCTTGGCCTCTCTGGGGGCCTCTAGGCCCACAGCCTGTCATGACCTCCATAGCATGTGCAAGAGGCAGACTTCCTGATGGGTGGTTCAGCAAGCACATGGGGTTGTGTTGATGAAGGTGTCCTGACTTGGAACTTTAGAGTTTACTCTGGCAAGGTCGTTCTTGGTGGCATCCCAATTGCAGTAGCTAAGATAAACCAGGGGGGTACAGGGCCACACCTTTTACAGAGATACCCTGCCACCTGTACTTAAGAGTAAATGTCACATGAGGTTTGGCCCATAGGTGATGGTCAAAATTACTTCAAGTTTAAGTAAAGCTGCAGGTCCTCATATCCCACCCCACCCCCATTGCCCCTGGCAGTGCCTTCCAACTCCTCACTCAGGCTGCTGTTGAAGTGACAGACCCCTTTCAATGCTGGAACTTATTTTATTTTATTTTATTTTATTGTTTGTTTGTTTGTTTTTCTCGAGACAGGGTTTCTCTGTATAGCTTTGGAGCCTGTCCTGGAATTCTGCTCTGTAGACCAGGCTGGCCTTGAACTCACAGAGATACACCTGCCTCTGCCTCCCGAGTGTTGGGATTAAAGGTGTTTGTGCTGGGATTAAAGGCGTGTGCCACCAACGCCCGGCTGAACTTCTTTTTGAACATCATCTCTATGACTTGGCTACATATCAGGTCTAGTGTCTTCCCAATACCACTGAGTTGCCTTGTGCCAGTTCAAGGTCAGGGAATACCAGCTCCCAGAAGGCAAATGGCTTTAATTACTTGATTGGAGCTCGTTAAAAAAATACCAAAAACAAAACCTTGAACAAGCACTGCACTGTCCAAGTCTGTACACCTTGTCTTCCCAGGTCACTGCTGGCATCACATAGAGAACGGAAGCCCTTTCTCTGTAGTTGTTTTTCATTTTCTTTGTATGTTTTGTTTCCATCAAAAACCAGTCTGGGGCCTCTGGTAGTTCACTGACCGAGCCTACCCTGGGCTCCATCCTCAGCACCCCAGAACCCACAAGCTAGGCTTGCTGAGAGGTAATTATGAGAACATTTGTCCTTTTGAAAATGAAACCGGCTCCCTGACTGTGCCTCAGCCTGGGCTGTCCTCTGGATTGTCCTCACTACTTCCCCACTTCTGACCTGACCGGGTTCACTGTGGCTGCCTGCTTTATCTCTTTCCTTGACAGTTTCTCTAACTTTGTGTCTCACAGAACTGTCTGACACTTTCTTCTGGAGTCCATCCTTGCTCCCTGCCCTGTCCTTCCAGGCCTGACTCTCTGCGTCTTGTCCAGGTTTCCCAGAGGAAGTGAAGGCAGCCGACTTCTGGACACAGCTGTCATTGAGACGCTGACTTGGGTTTGACATGAGAGGACCCTGGAGCTGGACTAACAGTTGCCTTCCTGTTATCCAGTGACACCAAGCTGCTGCTGCCTTTTCCAGTGTCCACATTCTAATATTGCCATGGGGCTAGCTCTTGGTTGAGCCGAGGTAGAAGGGAACAGATCCTAAACTCCTGAAGAACAGGGCTCATGTGCTGCTTGTATATCCTATTTCAGCTTTCCTAGTTAGTGCTGCCCTCCGGGTCTCAAAAGACGTTTCTTCTTACACATATTGTAGAAAGTTTAGGGGCAAAACAGCAAAAGGAAACAGCAAATCAAACAAACAAAAGACAAGGATTTCTGAACTCCAATTCCCTGCTTCCTCCCTGGGGTGTGTCCTGCTGCCATTTGGTGTACCCAGGTAAATGTAACCTCTGGCTCACATCCCACTCTGTGGGAGTCTGACCAATTGTGACCACCTTTCCAGGTGTTAAATAGTCTCTGGACTGACTCTGTAGAGTCATATGTGACTGATAATAGAGTTTTGTTGTTCCCTCCCTCCCTCAAGTTGTGCTGTGGTCCAGGCTGGCCTCACCCTGTGATCCTCCCTCTTGAGCACTGGATGATGGGTGGCCCATGGTGACTTAGGAAGCCTTCTCTTGCTGGCATAGGTCCCTGTGAGTGCTTCTGTCAGGCCATGCTGTGGGGAGGAGTGTTGTTCCCATGAGCCTGACTCACATTCCACAGGCTGAGTGAACCCTTGAAGCAGATCATGGCCAGGCTGGCCTGCTTCTCTTTCCTTTTTCCTTTCCCTGCCCTCACCCTTTCCTTTCTTTCCCTCTCCTCTCCCCTCTCTTCACCCTTCTCTGTTTTTTCCTTCTCTTTTTTAAGGGGGTACTTTTTATATATATGTTTATTTTGTACATTTGTTTATTTACTTTGTGTGTGTGTGTGTGTGTGTGTGTGTGTGTGTGTATGTGTGTGCACAGATGTACAGTTCATGCCACACTATGTGTGGCGGTCAGAGGACAACTTTCAGAAGTTCTTTTCTTTCACCATGTGGTTCCTGGGGATTGAACTCGGATCATCAGATGTGGCAAGTACTCTTACCCACTGAGCCATCTCCCCCAACTCTTTTGGATACATTTGATACATATTTACTTTTTTTTACTTCTAGACTCTACAGCAACAGGAATGCAAACTTCTCTACAGCCGAAAAGAAGGACAGAGACAAGAAAATAAAAACAAAAATAGATACAAAAATATCCTGCCTTGTGAGTATCAATGTCCTGCCTCAGTAGCAGTCACTGTGCCTAGGTCACAGGCTGGCTAACAGATAACCAGCTGTAATGGGGATGATGGCCTCCCAATGTCAGTGTAGTAGGAGGCCCTCTGTGGTCATCTCTCCTTCATTTATTCCTATTCCTCCTACATGTAACAACCTCAAGGTTCATGGTGACTCTCGGTCAGACTAAGGCTTGTGCCTCAGACCTGAGAGTTGTGTTTTTGTTCCTTATGATGTGTCTCGCCTTTAATTCAGATCACCTGCCTTTGTCTTCTGAGTGCTGGCAATGCCCAGCTTTTAAAAGTGGATTCTTCGGATCAAGCTCAAGGTCTTCATGCTTGAATGCCAAGGACATAGAGACTGAACTTACACACCCAGCCCTCTTTTTACGTTTTATTTTGACAGAGTCTCTCACTAGTTTGCCCTGGCTGGCCTTGAACTTACTCAGTAGTACCTCAGGCTGATCTTGAATTTGCTATGCTCCTGCCTCCACCTCTTAATATTTGGGACCACAGCCATGCACCCCAAAGCACACCTAAAGCAGATAGCTCCCCCCATCTTATTTTATGTGTACGTATTGCCTGCATGTCTGTACACCACTTGAATGAAAGCAGGCAATCTTATTTTCCTTATCTCATGAACTCATTTAGTAAGGTTGCCAGTGGGAGAAGCAGGCACTCAAGCCCCCAAAGCGGTGTTTTTGGCACCTTCTGCTGATGCAAGGTCTTCAGGGTGGTCTCTGCAGGCTTTCATGGAGGGAAGGGAACATTTAGAACTTGAGCATAAATACATCCTTTATGTAAAAGAAAAGAAAACTGAACCTGATGCACAAATTGATGGCATGCTTACATAGTATACTTATTTCTAAATTTTTTCCTCTCAGCTCTTCTGGTTCTCACTGAAAAGTGCAGCTGTAGGAAAAGTTGAAGGGAGTAGCGGCTTACTGTTTCTCAAATGACCTGCCTACTGCTGTGTTAATTAATGATCCAGTCAGATGTTTTCAGTGAGCCTTTTTTTTCTTTTTTAAATGTTGGTTTAAAAAACAAAACAAAACCAAAAACCAAAAAAACCCAGGGCCTTGCTACACCAGCCCTTTCTTAAAATGTTTGTTTTGAGACAGTTTCCCTAAGTTGCCCAGGCTGGGATTCCAGGTCTGCACCATCCTGTTAGCCCTGTTGCTAAGTCCCATTGTAGAATAGGTTGTTTTTGATAGAGCCCTGAGATTTTTATACTAAATAATGTATTGTGTACAGATTAGGACAACTGATACTTTATGGATCTTGTCTTAGAGATACTCTATTTTTCTCTGCCTCTTTAACAAACCTTTTATTATGGAAATATATTAACAAATGGAAGCTGAGTATACCTGTTGCCCAGCTTCAGCAACAGCCAGCTTGTGTGCAGTCTTGTTTTGCTATACTCTGACCACTTCTCTTTCCCTAGATGATTTTGAAGATCTTAGACATCATTGTTGTTACTTTGATCTTCTTCTTCTTCTTCTTCTTCTTCTTCTTCTCTCTCTCTCTGACTCTCTCTCTCTCTTTTTGGTTTTCCAAGACAGGGTTTCTCTGTGCCTTTGGAGGCTGTCCTGGCACTCGCTCTTGTAGACCAGGCTGGTCTTGAACTCACAGAGATCTGCCTGTGTCTGCCTCCTAAGTGCTGGGACTAAAGGCATGCGCCACCACCACCTGGCTTGATCTTCTTTTTAAAAACAAAAACCAGCTGGGGATATAGCTCAGGGGCACAGTGTTTGCCTGGCTTGCTCCAGGTCCTGGGTTCAATCCCCACCTTTACCACTAAACTCAAACAGGAAGAAAACACTCATAAGAAGTTAAAAAAATGACATAGGAAGTTTTGATGCCTGCCTCCCCGTGGTGAATCCTGCACTACACAGCATCACTGAGACAGGGAGTTCTGAGAAAGCCGTGGTGGACCTTGTCACGTCCCAGTTGATCTTGTGAAGGACTCACTGTTAGACTGGTCTGGCTTGAGGCCGCCTGACTTGTTAAAACTCTGAGAACTGACTGGCTGTCATCTCTTTCTCCTCAGTTGATCACACTAGGGTCGTCCTACACGATGGGGATCCCAACGAGCCCGTTTCTGATTACATCAATGCAAACATCATCATGGTAAGATTGACTTTCATTGTGTTTTCTGGCTGTATATTGTTAGTCTCTTTCTACCCATGACACAATCTTTCAAAGGATTGAAAGCTTTCCTTCCTAATTTCTAGCCTGAATTCGAAACCAAGTGCAACAATTCAAAACCCAAAAAGAGTTACATTGCCACTCAAGGCTGCCTGCAGAACACAGTAAATGACTTCTGGAGGATGGTGTTCCAGGAGAACTCTCGAGTCATCGTCATGACTACAAAGGAGGTGGAAAGAGGGAAGGTACGCACGCTTATCTCTTCTGGCCACTCCTCCCCCACATTCAGCTCTTGTGTGTGCTCAGCCACTATGCCCCCATTATCTCCAGCACCCGATAAAATGTTCTTAGAATATTAGATGTGTGCTTCTTTTGCACTGGGCTCCGCTCCTTGCTGTGCTTATCTGCAGTAGCTCCATTTTGCCTCTTGGTGGTGCTTGATTGAATAAGTAGTGTCTTTTACTGTTAGTGCACATTGGCCTGTAGCCCTGTGTTTTGTGCTGTGGATGAACTGATCCTCTAGCTGCTATAATGTGGTTTTGCTCAGCTGAACAGTTTTGTTCTTTCCTTCATTTCTTCACAGACGTGTCCTATGTTTGTCTGGATTAAATGGCAAGATTGTTCGGCCTCTGTGTGTATGTGTTACTTTGGAGCAGCCACCTCGCCACCTTCTAGAACCTGTCACTCCCCCCACCCCCAGGCCTCATAGTCTTGAGCTGAGCACCCCCATGCTCTTAGGATTCTGTGGGTTCTAGGATCTGGGTTTTCAGAACTTAGTATACCACACCTCCAGAAAAGCAGACATCTCCTCGTGTTATCTTTGCATCATGTCAAAGCGAAAACAATTTATAGGTTTTTAATATGGAAGTATGTTGGGTTTTATTTGGTTCTGGCTAGAGTTTTTATTTGGATATCCTTTATTGGTTTATATAAAGATTGAGCACAGTTTTACAGTCACATGTAGAAGCTAACCTGAGACAAATGGGCTCTTGGGAGTTGAGCCTGGCAACTGAGGGGCAAGTGATTGTGTAGGTTTCTGGTTGGTGTTGCTTCTGTATGCTTTCAGCAGTGATATTTTGTCCTGAGTCCTGGGCAGTTACAGCTTCTTGCTGCATGATGGAGGTGTAAGAGGTCACCTTGGGCCTGTAGCCGAGGAATCGGGTCAGCCACTGTTGGAACCACAGTAGGAATTTCCAGAGCAGACAGATCGGACAGGGATGGACCCAGTGCTCTGCTCTAGTCCTCACCCTAGAAGTGCATGCAGCCTGGGTCGCCACTGCACAGATAGAAAACCAGATTGGGACAACTCTCCTGCAACACTGGGAAAACTGGGCAGAGGGCAGTAGCTTGCAAGTGTTGAGAGTCAGCTAAAACGTTCGTTTTCAAGTCATGATGACTTTGTGTTTTCTGTTGAGGTCTCTGTAGTGAGCAGAGCAGTCCTCTGAATTGATTGTCCAGAAAAGAGCACCATTTCACTGGGGGATGATAGAATCCTGCTGGATCTGTCAAACATAGGCACAATGGGATTTAAATAAGAGACCACACCATTCCATCAGCCTCTCCTCCTGCCTTGGTCCTCTCTGAGCTCTGTAGCTAGCTGTGTTCGTTCCTCATCACCTATAAGCTGTTCTATATTCATAGTCCTTGGTGCAGATTTCCCTTGCTGATGTTGGCGTTATTGGTTTTAGAAAGTGAGTGTTGTGGGTGACTGCTTCCAGAAAGAGAGAACCAGAACATGCTCTGCCTCAGACTTGCCACTGGGTAGATGCAAGCTCATCCCTCGGCTGGACAAGACCTCTTTCCTTTACATCATTGTTATTATCTTTCTCAACTGTCTGCTCTGTTTTTTATTCTTGTTTGTTTGTTTTGAGACTGGGTCTTGCTATATAGTTCTCACTGGGCTGGTATTCACTATGTAGACCAGGATGACCCTTTTTTTTTTTTTTTTTTTTGGTTTTTCGAGACAGGGTTTTTCTGTGGTTTTGGGGGGTTTCCTGGAACTCGCTTTTTTAGACCAGGCTGGTCTCGAACTCACAGAGATCCACCTGCCTCTGCTTCCCGAGTGCTGGGACTAAAGGCGTGCGCCACCACTGCCTGGCTGACCAGGCTGACTTTAAAGGTGAAGTCATTCTTCTGTCTCTGCCTTCTGGGACTACAAGTATGCACACTCAGCTTTCAGTCCATCTGTTCAGGGTCCTACTATGCATCTCTGGTTGGCCTGGAATTTGCTCTGTAGACCAGGTTGGCCCTGAGCTCACAGAGACCTACCTGCCTCTGCCTCCCATGTGCTCGAACTAACATTGGAGTGTGCTTGTCCCATTGGTTCTTGAAGCCAGCGGCTATTGCAGACTGCTCTCAGTTATGGGAAGCTGGTGTGTGTGTGCAATTGGTGTAAGATGAGTCTGGATATGGAGAAAGTAGTGACGGAACAGTGTCAGTGCAGTATCCTGCCCATCCCCTCAGAATGACTGGTGAAGTGCTGGAATCGGAAATTCTGCTTGCCAGGGGGCAGTCTTGACTTGGCTGGTCCCTCCCACTTGGCTTCTTTCATCCTCAGAGCTGACTAAGCTGGTGTTGGATCTGCTTTGGCAGGTAGGGGTTGGGGTAGGGCATGGGGTGGGGACCAGGCTGACATTGCCACACCTGGTCTCCTCCTCCCTTTTGGCTGCTTTGCTTGTTTGAATTACTCCTTTCTTTTCTTGGCAGCCTGAAGGAAGGTGGTAGGCTCTTTTCTTGCTGTTGTCACGAGCAGGACTGGGACAATTGTTCACTACTGGTTTGGACGTTAACAGACTCTCTCTGGTCCCTTCCAGAGCAAATGCGTCAAGTACTGGCCTGATGAGTATGCACTCAAAGAATATGGGGTCATGCGTGTTAGGAATGTCAAAGAAAGTGCCGCTCATGACTACACCTTAAGAGAACTCAAACTCTCCAAGGTCGGACAAGTAAGTATATTGTCGTATTCTAGAGACTGTGTGGCTTTCTGTGGTTCACAGTCATTGGGGCAATTCTGTCCATGTTAGCTGGCACTCGCTGAGTGAATGGCCACATTCCGTGCCTCATAGGTTCTGGGCCCAGTTCAGCACTGCTGTGTTTGTAAGCAAGACAGGCACAGGTCCTCTCTTCACAGAGCCTGGAGAGATGTGGGTAAACTTAAATTTCCTGATGCTGCTGGCGTTCAACTCCTGTAACATGTTTTAGAGTGACTGGTGGCACACACCTTTAATCCCAGCACTTGGGAGGCAGAGGCAGGATGATCTGTGAGTTTGAGCCCAGACTGGTCTACAGAGTGAATTTCAGGATAGCTAGGGCTTTATAGAGAAACCATTTCTGGAACGCCCCCCCCCCCAAAAAAAAAAAAGAAAAAAAGGTATGGAGGGGGCCCCTGAGGGGTGACACTGCTGAGATGTCAAGTGGAACCATGCATACAAGCAGAGGGAGCAGGGAGTACCCCAGGACTGTCTGTTATCAAGGTCAGTGTGGCAGCTTTTTTTTTTGTTGTTGTTGTGTTTGTCTGTGTAGCCCTGACTGTCCTGGAACTTACTCTGTAGACCAGGCTGGCCTCAAACTCACAGAGATCTGCCTGCCTTTGCCTCCCAAGTGATGGGATTAAAGGTGTGTACCACCATGCCTGGCTGAGTATTTTTATTTTATTTTGTTTATTTATTTAGTTTGAGACAGGGTCTTACTATATAGCACTGACTGGCCTAGAACTTGCAATATAGACCAGGCTGATCTCAAACTCACAGAGATCCACCTGCCTCTGTCTCCTGTGAGCTGGGACTAAAGGTATGGCCCACAATGCCTGGCTCCTGGGTATTAAAGTTTATTTTTTATTTTTACACATGCTTGCATGTGCACAGAGGTTAGAGGATGATGAATAGGAGGAATTGGTTCTCTCCTACCATGTGGTTTGAGTTATATTGAGCTTTGAGTTTTATCTACCACATGGAACTTGTCTCAATTCTTGTGCCCGGTGAGCAGGTATGAAGTTGTGTACAGGGATGTCTCTGCAACCCTTGGGACAGGACAGAGGGTATGTGACTATTAGCCATGAGGTTCTAGGAGACCTCTGTGTTAGTCTAGGCCTCTGGCCTGCTTTCCATGTCTCCAGCAGTGGGTTCTTCCTGCTGAACTTATTCCTTTGATTGGGAACAGATTGGAAGAGAAAGTAGTGTCAGGCCCCTGGGAAGACATTTTCAGGGCATTGGGACAGTTTGGCTATTGAAGGGGGAAGGGAGACCAAAGGTGATAGAACTTTGAGTCTGACTGGACAATAGTGTTGTACCAAATGTGAGAAAAGCCAAGAGCAGAGCTGAGGACTGAACTTCGGTTGTCAGGTTTGGTGGCAGGGGCCTTTACTCACTGAGCTGCCCTGCCAGCCTTCTTGTTCATGATGAACTGCCAGGCCTGTCAATGCTTCCGAGTAGCGAGCGGTTTCTTTCCCTTGGTGCTAGTGAGAATCAGTTTGTCTTGCTCTCATCCCCCTGCCCCCTGAAAGGTGTGACTGTGCTGTGTGACTTGTCTCTGGGTACTGAGATGATGCCACAGGGCTTGTTCCATCTTGCTTATCAGGAGATTTTGATTGTGAGCCTAGCCTTTAACGGCTGAGCTATCCCTCCAGCCCCCAGGAGATTTTGAGAGGGAGGTGTGAGAGATGTTGGCACACGTGTGTTTTTACCCTGGCGTGGAGTCTGACATGGACTCCTCTGGCTCCCGCCTTGCTGATGGCAGATCACCTACTTGCACAGCACTAATGTGCAAAAATGCCTTGACTTAGAAGGGGGCTTGCTACACAGTGAACCTGTGCATGCTCCATTTCTCTTGCTGGCTTGCCTGTGACCCACGAAGCTATCAGATCACTTAGTAATGACAAGGCTAGTTTTCCACGACATCAGCCAATTAAATTCGTTTAGCACACAGAGAGTTTTTAATCATGGCAAGAGTCCTTGGGTGTGAGAAGGTTTACTAGTGTCCTCCTGTCTTTCCCTTCCTCTGTCCCTCACTCCCTCTCTTCTTCCTTTCCTTTTTCTGTAGTCCCAGTGGTCCTGGTGCCTCTGTTGGTCCCTGGCCATTGTCACTCAGAGCTGCCAGGATGTGCTTAGTCCCCAGTTACTTCCTGCTTGCTGGGAGAAGCTCTTTGTGCAGCCCCTTTAATCCCTCTGTGTGAGAAAGATTTCTTTGTAAATGAATTTGAGGGTTTGAGTTATGCAGCAGTGACTCTACAGTAAGGGGCTGCCTGGGATTCGAGCCCAAATCTCACCATCTACTTCCTAAAGCCCATCTTCAGCTATGACAGTGCTGTGGTTGCCTGTAGGAGGCAGCATGGGTGAGGATACAAGATGACAGTGGAGCAAATGCTTGAGGGGAGGCCAGTTTGCCAGGCTGCAGTTCTTAGGGATCCCAGAGGCCTCTGGAGTTGAGTGCCACCTGACTGAGGAAGAAGGGGAACATAATCTTCTCTGGTGACTCAGGGATGCATTTGACTATGGTTAGCCAGAGAACAAATTGCCACACTGGATGTCTTAGATTGTTGATGGGTAGATGCTGCCTCCAGTCTGGCCTGTTAGCTTTCAGAGAAGTGCTTCTGGGAACCAGAGATTCTGGGCTTTCCATTCTCGAAGGCACTATGAAAGTTCAGAGGCCATGCTTCCTTAACCCTTGATTTATTTAATTCTGTTCTGGCTTTTCTTGGCTCTACTCCAGGGAAATACAGAGAGAACCGTCTGGCAGTACCATTTTCGGACCTGGCCGGATCATGGTGTGCCCAGTGACCCTGGAGGTGTGCTGGACTTCCTGGAAGAGGTCCACCACAAGCAGGAGAGCATCATGGACGCAGGCCCTGTCGTGGTTCACTGCAGGTGACAGCCCAGCTTGGTTTCTTTTAAGCTCAGGGGTTTGGGAGTCTGTTCTCCTTGGAGATGCTATCCACTCTTCCCATCACTGTGTTTACCCAGCATCCATCACTTCCCAGGTGGGGTCAGCACACAGATCGTGTGGGCTTCGTGATTATACTGGGGATGGTTTGGTTTCCTGAACTTTCATCCCCATGTTGAACTGATCTAGAAATGAGTGAAGCTTTCATTGTTCAGTGGTTTGTTTTGTCATTGTTATTTTGTGATAGGATCTCACTTACATAGTGAGATCCAGGTTGACCTCAAACTTGCAGTGATTCCCCTGCTTCTGTCTCCCAAGTGCTGGGGTAACAGGCCTTGTACCACTATGGCTGGCCCATTCAGTTTTGTTTGTTTTGTTTTTAAACTGTCATTAATGTTGGTTTTGCAGACAGGTGGCTATTTAGGAAAGAAATGAACACACATTTCTTCCTTTGAATGTCTGCTGTGGCCTGTAAGACAGGAAGCCACGAGTCTGTGGGCAAGTTTCTATGCTCAGGAGAGCCATTATTTATCCAACAGTTTCCAAGTAAAAGTTGTATGAAGCTGTATGAAGTAGAGAAAAGATGCCATGTGTTGCTCAGGGCTGCCATGCTCAGCACTGTGAATCTCATGGCAAGCCCCTAAGAGATATTGTCACCTCCCCATTTCCATGGATGAGGAAATAAGGATACCCGAGAGGAACAGGGAACTGACACCTTGAGGATGGGGTTGGGGAAAAGCTGATGTGACTGTGACCTACATCTTCTAGACAAATAGAGCAGAGTCTGTGGACATTAATAGCTTGGTTCTGAGTGTGAAACCCCCACAAGTGACTCCGGTGTCTCTGCTATTTATTCTTTTATCCACAGTGCTGGAATTGGCCGGACAGGAACATTCATTGTTATTGACATTCTTATTGACATCATTAGAGAGAAAGGTAGGTCATCTGGAGGGCAAGAAGCCACATACAGTTCCTGTTTCTAGGTTGTGAATGGGGAGTGCCAGGGCAAATAGCCTGGGAGAGAGAATTCACAGGAGAAAGGAATGGTCATTTAAATCTGGATGAGATTCACTTTCAGTGAGTTCTGTTCAGCTGTTGCTATAAAACAGTGTCCTAGAGTTCTGGTCCAATCACCATGCCTTCTATTACCCACGAAATGAGGCCCCTCCAACCACTCATTCCCTGCCTGTGTGATGGGGTGGCATTCTTGGGAGCAGAGGGGCTTCTGACCCTAGCACTTTGTCCTAGCAGTTCCTGGCATTGTCCTGAGCATTGGTTCAGGAGCCCTGCTGCATCCTCTTTGTCTAGTGGTGAGGGAAAGACTAGCTCTGTGTCCCTTCCTGATGTGGAAATTGGGTGCTCAGCAGCTCACCCTAGCCTCGTGCACTCCTGCAGCTTCAGGGTCTTTGCTTTGCAGGTGTGGACTGTGACATTGATGTTCCTAAAACCATTCAGATGGTGCGGTCCCAGAGGTCAGGGATGGTCCAGACAGAAGCACAGTACAGGTTCATCTACATGGCCGTCCAGCATTATATCGAGACGCTGCAGCGCAGGATTGAGGAGGAGCAGGTATGGAACGAGGGGCTGGCACATGGGCTCAGCTCCAGTACAGGCTGCCTGGATTTGCACCTTTAGAGCTAGAGCACAGGATCTCTTTATCTGGAGAACGTGAACAGATCCCAACCCCAGTAGTTTCTTTGGAAGCTGTGGTCATTCTTTGCCTCCTAGCTCAGGTTAGTGTGGTGCCATCCTCATGAGCTCTGCATACAGAAAGAAGGTGACTTCTATATGCCAGGCTTAGAATGAGGGCCTACAGTTTCCAGCCTGCTTCAGCTTTGATCTAGTCTGGTCTATCCTGAATCCGTCTTGTGAAATGAATGCCTTGTTCTTAATAGAGCATGGCAGTTTGAGCCACTAATTTGGCTGCATTGAAACAGTGAATTTCAATTTTAATAAGCTGTGCATAATGAAGAGTGTGCAGTTGGAGCCATTCCATGTGAGGCTATTCATAACAGACACAGAGCTGAGTTAATTAGGATGCGCTGAGCCGAGGGAGATGAGGAAGGAGAGCTGTTCTTTTGGGGAGCTTTGCTTATTCCCCTCCTGAACCCCATTGTGCTGCAGCAGATGAGTGGTATCTGAGCACCAACAATATTTGTACTTTTTACTGCTGTTGCCTTCCAGAAATCCCAGGAGAAGAGACTCAGTGCATGTCACAATGTGACAAGCTGTCTCTTAATGGGTAGCTTTATTATTATTTTTGTTGTAAAGACATCTCACTGTGTAGCCCTGGGCTGGCCCTGAACTCAGAGGTGCTGTTGCCTCTGTCTCCTAAGTGTTGGGATAAAGGTGTGCCACTATACCTGGCCTGGAAAAATAGAGCCACATTATCAGCCTTGGAAGTCAGAGGGAAGTGTCCCTTCCTGGTACTCACACAGACACCCATGTCAGGGGGCTCATTGTACACACATTGAGAAATCAAGTGTGCATAGGTCTGTGAGGGCATATGATTGATTGATAAGCCACCTATCCTGAACCTCAGTGTTTTAAATCTGAATTCAACACAAGCTTTTTTTTTTTTTTTTTTTTTCCATTTTTTTTTTTTTTTCCATTTTTTTGGTGGTACCAGAGAACAAACCCAGGGCTTCACACACACTAGGCTAGCACTCCATCACTTATCTGAACCCCCAGATCTGTAAATGTAGATGGTTATTCTGAGGTTCTTTTATACACGGCTTCTAGTTATATTTAACTGGTGCCATTAATAGTTTAAAAAGAGATGCCCAGACAAATTTAAAGAGGCGGCATCATGGTTGCTAAGTTTGGTCAGGAACAATTCAGGAGCATCCTGTCATCTTGTCAGGAGTTCTCTGTTTCACTTGGATTTGTATTCATGTTAGAATTGAGAGGTATAAACAGGTGGATCAGAAATTCAAATTTATCTTTGACTATGTATTGAGTTTTTAGTCTGCATGAGCTATATGAGACTGGTTGCAAAAATATCAAACCAACAATGAAAAAGAAACCATCACTACACATAAAAAGAACCAACCCCCTCCCCATTATTTTTAAATTTAGTTTTAAATATGTGTGAGCCTGTGTCTATGTATGGGATGTATGTTAGTACAGATGCACGTGGATCTTCGGATCCCTTGAAGCAGGATGTGCTCTTACGCTGCCCAACAGGAATATTTTGCATTCTTACCCGCAGCCGTGGCTCCCTGTCAAGCCCAGCAGATCCTTAAATTAAGTAACAGGACAAAACTCATTCAGGATAATGAATTATTTCGAAATGTAGTAATTTTCCAATTTAGGATGAGTTAAGGCCCTTCGGGAGTAAAAGAATCTGCTAAAGAAGATTAAATGAAAACAAGAAAGTGGCAGTTGGGCGGAGAGCCATGGGGAAGAATGGGGGGAGAAAGAGAGACAGATTCAGAACACATACTTGCTAGCAAGAAAGAAATACACAGAGAGGTGTGTCAGGGACAGAGCATAGGGGACAGTCATGAGTGTCTATGTCTAACAGGCCTCTTGTCTCTGTAGTTTGGGTGAGAGGTTTTTTGTTTTTTTTTTTTTTTAAATTTTCCATTTATAGTAGTGAGTACTTCATTTGTAAAGGCAGTATGTGGTAGTTCCTTTACCCAACTTATCTGAAGGTTAAGATATTAACACAAGCATTCATTCTCTCTTTGAACTTTAAAATATATGTAAAAAGGCAACATTTATAAGTTACATGTATTTATACCTCTTTGCCTGTAAGTGTGTTAGTATGTATTTTCAATGAAAAAAAAATAAGGACATTCTGTTACCTAGTTGTTATCCATAACCAAGCTGAGGAAGCAGACACTGATAGAAAGCTCTGTGTAACCTCAGATCAGGACTGGGGCTGTAGCTTCAGTATGAGCCCACTTGCCAGGATCCTAGGGTCCGTTCTAGTACTACACAGAAGCATACCAGGTGTAGCTACACACTTGTGTAAATCAAGCACTTGGGGGCTAAGGCAGAAAGACTACATATTCCAGTCTAGCCTGGGCTACATTAGACCTTCTCTTGATAAAAACAGAACCAAATTCTTCACTGCAGATGTGTTGGTTTTTTTTTTTTTTTTTAAAGTTTTATTTATTTATCATGTATACAATGTCCTGCCTTCATGTATGTCTGCAGGCCAGAAGAGGGCACCAGATTTCACTACAGATGGTTGTGAACTACCATGTGGTTGCTGGGAATTGAACTCAGGACCTTTGGAAGAGCACATAGTGCTCTTAACCACTGAGCCACCTCCCCAGCCCTACTGTAGTTGGTTTTAACCTTCCTGCCCCTGAGCATCAGTTGGCCATAGATGGATCACAGACATGCAGCCTTGGTCTGGGGGTTTTCTAGGTACTGGAAACACAGAGCCTCCCCTTACCTGGAAGTAAAGCATCCCTCATCCCAGGGAACTCCAGAGCAACCCCAAGCTTCACACTGTATTTACTTGTTTATTTATATAGAGATAAGGGCTCATATAGCCCAGACTTTCTCCATCTCACTGTGAAGCCTGGCTGAACTTGAACTTCTGTTCCTCCCTGAGCACCACCTTCCTAGTGCTAAGATGGAATTGGTTAATGTGCTGCTGGGGATAGAAGCCTGGGTGCCTGTACTGGACAGGCACTTTACCAACTGGGCTACATCTTTCCTTCCCTAAATGATTTCCTTTGTTTAAAGTGCAAGTACATGTTCTGGAGAGGAAGTTCAGCCACTAAACCCTTTACACTCTTCCAGAGTTCCTGAGTTCAGTTCCCATCATCCATGTTGGCAATTATAGCAACAGCCTATAACTCCAGCTTCAGGGATTCTAATGCCCTCTTCTGGCTTCCAAGGTCACTTGAACACATGTGGCATGCACACAGACACACTTGTACATATTTAAATGAAACACAAATATAGACATCTTAAAACTGTGTAGACCATTGTTTGCTAATTCAGATGTTGGCCAGTGAGATCTTGGTGTCTTATTGTTGCTTAGCTTGTGTTTTCCACTTAGCATTTTATATGAATCAGTTTGCACACAGTCCTTTCCTCTCCTCCACTCTGCTGCATATGGTTTCACGGACATACATTCTTTTGCTCTTTTGGGTATTTATAAAGAGCATCATGCCCCAGCCACCTCTGTACAGTTCTTAGGCTTCCTTCCATGCAAGGGTTTCCCAGTGAGACACAGATGTTCATTCAATACATGCTTTTTCATTTTCACTAAAGACTAGCTAGTAGTGCCACCTTCACTGTTGAGAACCAAATGGCAGTTTTTTTTTTTTTTTTTCTTTTCTCCAGTGCCTGGGGTCAAGTCCAGAGCCTTGTGCAGCCAGATAGGCAGCACTTATTGCTAATTATGCTCCCAGCCTCCCAGTTTAACCTCTCTGAGCACTGATGGTGGTTCCCAGGTATATGTTAGTCTTCAATATGGTCACACGTCCTTCCTAGCAGTGCTAAGGTCAAGGCAGTGCCGATGCTTCCTTGATGGATTGCCTTGAGAATTGGCAATCTGCAGGTGAATATGAGAAAAGGTGACCGGCCAATGGGATGGTGCAGTGGGGAAAAGCATTTGCTGTACAAACCTGATGATCTAAGCTCAAGGCTCAGTGCCTTCGCTGAAGGAGAGAGCTGATTCCACAGGGATGTCTTCTGTTCTCTACACATGTGTGGCATGTGTGAATCTTCATGTATCACACACAAATACAAAGACATGTGAGATGAGATTACATTCCCGTTGATTTTCTTTGTTGGTTTCCTTGCCTCACCACATCATTAGAGTCAAAATAGCATTCTAAGGTTCCGTGATCTCTTCTGGTGTATTAGGAGGTAGGTTGCAGGGTTGGAGGAGTATCTCAGTAGCAGGGCACACACCCAGTCATGTGCAAGGGCTCTGGGTGCCATCCCCAATGCTAAATGAATAAAGTGCATTTATTGTGACGCCCACCGCTGGGTGCACTTGTACTTGGAGTGAATCCTTCTGGAGTGTCTTATAGTCTACTAAACATGGTGGAGTGGACACATGCCCGAAGTGGTTAGAGCTCCATGCAAAGGCAGCAGGAACTCTGTGCTTCGGAGCAGGGCCTCTGGTCTAGTTCAGCAGGCAGATCCTGCATTCCTGCAGCTCCAGGGGCTCTGGGGGACTGTGGTTCCAGAGCACCCCTCCTGAGGGTGCTGGGCCTGGAAGGAGACTAGCTCCTCCTGACAGTGTGGTCAGCTTGTCAGGGTTCTCAAGATTTTGGCCTGTCCATCTGGCTCTCTCTTTTCCTTTGATAAAATTACTTTTTGTTTGTGTGTTGTTTCAAGAAACAAACCCACAGTCTTTCTTACCTGTACTTTTCCAACTTTCAGAAAAGCAAAAGGAAAGGACATGAGTATACCAATATTAAGTATTCCCTGGTGGACCAGACAAGCGGCGATCAAAGTCCCCTGCCACCTTGTACCCCAACACCACCCTGTGCAGAGTAAGTAGTGATGTGGTTATGTAGCTCTGGTAAAAGCTATAGCAGTTGTTTGCAGTATTTCCTGCTCACATTTGCTTGCTGCCCAGTGATAATACAGGGGGGTGGTTGGGGTTGAGGGGCTCTCTAGGAACTGTGTGGACAATGTCTAACCAGAGATTCAGGGCCCCTAAACAGTAGGCACATGTGGGTCTTTCCAGACTGTCAGGATTCTCTAGGGAAAAATCTAATTTTCTTTTGCAGGGGGCATTATTTCAGTGAAAGATACTATCTCTTACTATATGCTGTGACTCTGAACAGTAAGAATAGATAGATTCTCTATTCATGTGTGGACATGACTATGGTCTGCCAATCTTTCTGCCAGTCAGTTTTGGTTTTGGTTGGTTGTTTGTTTGTTTGTGTAGACCAGTCACTGTCTATAGACTAGGCCAGAGATCTGCCTGCCCCTGCCTCCTGAGTGCTGGGATTAAAGGTGTGCACCACCGCTGCCTGGTTAGGGTTTTTAAACCAAGGGTCAGAAAGCCAGAGCCCACAGGCCTAGCTTTGCCTTTTAAAGGAATTCTTATTAAAAAACAAAACAAAACAAAAAAAAAACAAAAAAAAACCCCAAAAAGGTATCCATTCCAGGAGGAAATGACAGGCAGTTATGAGTAGGCATGCTGCAAAAGAAGCAATGGGTGACTTAGGGACGCGCAAGGAGGACTCATTTTCCTTGGTGGTCAGTGAACAGGAAGGGAAAGCTCGAAGCTCTTTCTACACACCAAGTGAAGTCAGAAGGGCAGTGTCCAGCAGTGGTGAGGACAGTTTTGTTTTCAAGGAACAGTTGTCGCACAGCGGCAATTCAAGTGCCTTGGTTCAGCTCCACAGGGCAGCTTGCCTTGGTAACTACGGCCAGAACTTTAAGAGCACAGTGACCTTGCAATTTGGAGAGTTCACCACATCTTGGGAAAGAGTTTCCCCCAGAGGCATTCAGCATGACATCATCTTGATAGTTAGGGATTTGGAAGGTCCTCTAATAGTACATCTGTGACAGGAAGTCGTGTGACATTTCCAGCATGTGAGATGAACTAGAGACACAAGTAGAGTGCTGAAGGACCGTGCCCTGTCAGTCAGACTCCAAGTAGAGTGCTGAAGGACTATGTCCTGTCAGTCAGACTCCAAGTAACACTGAACTTTGGATGGGAAAAGGAAATTAGTTCCTGACTTTTACTAATTTTTCACTGACACCAAGTGCTTCAAAGACCCACGAGTATCTAGCTGCTGTGGAGTTCTCAGGGGTTTTGCGTATTTAACTAGCAGTGTGTTGCGTCCGTCTCTACAGATCTCCCTCTGCATCTGTTAGATAGATAGGCACAGTCTGGAACCTGGAGCCATGGGCTAATGATTACAACTTTCTTGAAGGCAGTGTCTTGAGGCCATTTTGGAATGAAGTACCCCAGTCTTCCATGCTGCTGCTTTGTAGCCTGCCATTAAAGATTCCCAAGAGAGGCAGGACTTGACAGAGCCCATATTCACATTCTAGGAGACCCAGGTTCCTGCAACTTAAATGACAGTTTCAGGGCTGTTGGCCAGGTTAGTACTGAAGTCTGTGACCACTTTCCCTCACTCCGCCCCTGTCACTCCAGTGCTTAATGTCCATAAGGGCCCTTCCTGGCTTAGCCACATCCCTCACACCATACCCCTTCTGTTCCTCATGCACCGTTGCCTGGGAAAGGAAAACTCCAAAGCATGACATACACAGTGATTCTTTCCAGAAGGGTTTATCCTGTTCCCGGTTTAAAGTAAAATACACCCAAACAGCCTTTGTTAGCCTGGTCACGTGACTAACAGCATACCGCAAAGTCGTTGTCCATCATAACATTTACCTTCTCTTTCCCCTGGAATCTGGCTTGTTTGCTTCTGCTGTGGGCTTTTAAAGCCCCACTGACTTTAATATTGGCTCTACACGGCTCCCTCAGAGAGCAGATAGACGCCTGTGTTTACATTCTCTCTGTTAAACACAGAAATGAAATCCTGTGTCAGAGGTGCTCTCTTCTGAGTCATATTCCCTCCTCCTATTTCCCTCAGCCATAGCAGGCTGTCTGGGGAATGATGGTGTTTTAAACCACTCGCTGCAGTAACTTGCTGGGCAGCCAGCACCTTTCCCACAAAATTCACCCGAGTCTGACAGCCACTCTGCCTTGCCCTTTGTGTTGTCCCCATATAGGCTGCACACCTCAGATCCTGGGTTCTAGGGCTGCTCAGAGCACCAGTCCTCCTGGCCTGCACAGACTCCTGATACCCTTCTTAGCAGAAGGAGGCTGGCCCTCAGATGCTTTAGTTCTCCATCCAAGGCTCTGAAAGTGGCCGTAGCCTTCCTTCACCTGTTCTGATGCCTCGCTGGGATGGCCACAGTTCCCGTTTTGTGTGCACATGACCCAACTCCTTTACTGTCCTCTAGACACCAGCCTTCCCTTCATCCACACTCAGATGGCACAGGACTCCAGGCCCGGCTGCTTTTACGTCATAATTATACTGCCCATGGGAGTGTGATGTCCACGAGTCAGCTCGTGAGAAGTAGGAGGTCTCAGCAGAGCTGGGCCAGATGGGATGTGGCAGGGGTTCAGGTGTCTTCTCCTTCCTCTCTGCAGAATGAGGGAGGACAGCGCACGAGTGTACGAGAATGTGGGCCTCATGCAGCAGCAGAGGAGCTTCAGATGAGGCCCACCGGTGGCGGCCTGCAGGTATTTCAACGCAGAGGTGTTCTCTGGGACTGTGATTCACAGTGTTCCTAGATAGGCAGGGGATTTGTGTATGCCAGAGCAAAACCTACTCTGACTCAGCTTTGAAAACCAGCCTCTTTTTTTCTGGCCTTGTCCCTCTGCAGGCTGGGTTTGGTTTACAGTTCACTGAGCATTAAAATCAGATCAGATAACTACATGGGGGTGTGACTGGCCCTTAACAGCAAGCAGTTGGCAGTAATGAAGAGCAGCCATCACTGTTCTGCTAGTAGAACTGGGCTCGAGTGGCACAGGCCCTGCTGCCTGTGATCTCTTGGTGTCAGGAGCAGCCATGCTTCTGAGGGCTTGGGGTCCCGGGCTCCACTGTCTTTTGATTGAGTCGTTTCCCTGTGGGGGCCTCCCTGGCACTCACTGTGGTGGATCCACATAGGTGATGCAGGCTTGTGTGCCATGTTAGAAACATACAGTATGGTATCACACACTAAAATTCCTGTCAGCAGTATTTCAGCAGAGAGCGTTTGTCTGGCATGTGTGTGACATGCTGGTTTCAGTGCCCTGCACCCTCAGAGAATATGAGACTCTCCATGCTTATCTATGTGTGCTCCCTAAAAGTCAAAACTTCTTTCTTCCTCAGATTCGAACTTTCACCCCTTCCCTAAAAATGTCAAGACTAGACGAGAAAGTTTCCAGGACCCACGTGTTCAGAAGCTTGCCCGCCCGGGGTTGACTTTTGAGAAGCGAAGTTTGGAACCATTTGAAGAGCACGCGTCTAATCGGCATCTCCCTTCCTCAGATAAGGGGAAACCGCTCTGCGTTGTCAACAGTGCTGTTTTCATAGAATTGGTTTTGAGTTGTGGAATCAGCTAAATTGTGCTCTGTATTTTACACATTATGGGACTCAAATTGTAGTTATGGGCAGGATTTTGTTTCTTTTTATGACCTTAACTGATCTGACTTTCTTTTACCCCTGTCTCTTTGGGGAATCATGGGCCCCTTGTAAGAAGAAAGGATTTGGGGAAATTCAGGAACAACCTCCTTGAGAAGCCAGCAAGTCTGTAAACCACTGCTCATCTTCTACCGCCCAGGGATTGTTTAGGGTCACTCATCATTGCAGAGACTCGCTGTTTAGTTCCAGGGACTGGGAGGCCAGGCTGTAGGTTTGCACTGGTGAGGGCTTTCTGGTGTGCCACAGCAGATGGAAAGAGCACGAGGGCTGGCCTCGCTTTTATAGCAGACTGATGACGACAGCATGAGTCCACCCTCAAGACCCAGCCAAGACCCAGCCATTCCTTGGCGGCCCACAGTCAGCACCATGGCACTCCCTGCAGATGCTTGGGGCACATTCAGTACAGAATGACCCAGGGAGGCCCCACGGGAAACGACTCAGTCAAGGACAATTCACTTTGGTAGCAAAGCGATCATTCAACCAGTGATATGAGTCAGGGGATAAAAAGTCATGGCTGAAAGGCCATGGGAATTGGTGGATGAGAAGTCTTTCCTCTGAAGGTGACCCCTTGGCTTCAGGTGTGGACAGAGAAAAGGTGGGAAAGTGGCCATGTTGTCTTTGCACTGGAGTCACCATCTTGTATTAGTAAGACCCTTGGGTGAGCGGCATCTGATTCTCTTTTCCTGACTGACCCACCCTACCCATTCCTCAGTCTTATCTGGCTTGCATGAGCCCCACTGTCCTGTGGGATCACTTGGGGAGTTGGCAGCATGGCCGAGACACTGAGCTTCTGTCTCACTTGTGGTGTCTTCCAGTTCTTTTCTCCTGGGTGTCTGTGTAGCCTCACTAGCAGAGTGATTGGGCCTTTATGTGTCTCCTAAAGCCCAAAGGCAGAAGTGGCCAGGCCTTCTTCAGATTCAGGCCTGGAATGACCATGACTTCTTCTATGACTGCCTTCGAGGGAATCAGACTCAGCCTGAGGTGTGTAGTGGAGATGCCATGCTCTGGGGCCACCAGTCTGTCAGTTGGTTCCAGCCTGTGCCATGGAAGCAAGCGGCTGAGTTAGCAAGAGCCCAGGCTGCTTATAGTAGTTGGTGTAAACTGTGAGTCAGATGAGAAATGTACAGCACACCTTCTAGAAGCTTCTGAGCCAATTTTTCTGGCACCACACATGTTGCACTATCCTCACCTGAAGACCTGGTGTGGTAAGGGTGGGTGTGTTTGGGGACGTATGGAAGCTTGTTCCTGAAGCACCACAGATGGGTGAAGGTGACGCTTCATTGGGCCTTGGCTGAGCATGAAGAGCGGCAGTCCTGTCCAGGCCTCCTGTCAGGTCCAGTCAGCCAATTATGCTTTAACCAAGCAGCAGGGTTTGCTATGTTCTGCCTTAAGTGCCTTCTCCACAAACACCCCCTCTGCCTGTGTGATGATTGTTGAGAGCATGTTTCACCGAAAGCATCTGGATTGACACTCATGACCAAACAGTGGCACAGCCTCTGCTTACATTCTTTTTGCTTTGGTTCCTGAAAGGAAGGACTGGACCCTGCCCTGCAGTCGTTCCTTTCTGAGGCCTCCCATTCCCTGGCAGCTTGAGATAGTTGGTGAGCACAGGGGCAACCATTTTCTCAGAGCATTTGTGTTGACCCTTGCCCCTTCTCCACTGGACTCACTGCTTCAGAGCACAGCGTGGCTTGGCCATGTTCCCTCATCAGGGGAAGGTGGAGACTGCTGTCTTCTCACAAGCCCATGATGGAGATCAGTTCAGCATTCACAGCCAGGATCTCAAATCCTATTCTCATAGCACATTGTCACAATGAAGCCTGTTGGGGATGGCGGTGATATCTAGACTCTGGACTTCGGGGACAAGGTCTCTCACCAGCACACAGAGGTTGGCTGTCTAACTGATCTACTGAGTTAACGTCTCTGTCTTCAGCTCAGGATCCAGAGAAGAAGACATGTTCTTAGCCCACGGTATTCAGTACAGCAAGTGGTTTCCTTCAGGTTCCCCTCCCACCAGTAAGAAAATGGATTCCTAAGAGTCTCTAGGTCCCCCTGATCTGTCAAGTGTGGTAGTTGCAGGGTCTCAGGAGAGGGTGTTGGAGGCAAGTGTAGTGTCTGGGAAGGTGAAGTATTGGAGGAATGGGTTTGAAACAATGGGAGTGAAAGTTGTAGAGGTGGTTCATGGGCAAGTTGGAAGGCACAGAGTGACAGCAGGTCCCCTCACTGCTGAGCCTTTTAAATTAGAAACATAGGATTTTATATTTGGGGGAAAATCATCTAGCACATGGTCTTGGGGTTTCTAGAAAGCCACACTTAAATCTTAGAAAGAAGGCTTGCCACACTGGTGTGCGGCCCTAGTGATGCCCCAGGTTGCCTCCGCCATTACAGTTGGTGCCTTTCTAATGATGAAGTTGGGATTAGAAAATGCTGTCGGGTGTCGTCAGCTATGTTTTGACAGAGCTGGTGGCCTTCAATGGCTCAGAAGTGGTCAGTGTTATTTCTAGGGTGTTTGCTGGGAGTTCAAGAACATAAGCATTGTTTTCCTGTGTGGGGACTGAGGCAGGTGCACTTGTGAGGTATTCTGTAGATTCGAGATCCTTAGGGAAACAGACTCCAGGCAGAAGTGCAAGCCCAGGGCAGGCTTTGCTCCTGTCAGTTGTTGGGGGTTGCTTTATAGCACACAGTTGCCCTGGTTTCAGACGCCTTTCTTAGGGTCTGTGCTAGTCCGCCATTTTGTTGGATTTACTCCCTGCCCCCAATTTGGAAAGATAAGCTCCTGAGTAGAGTTCATTGAATTTCCCATCTCTAGCAGCTTGCCACTTTCAGGGTGGGCAGGACAAGTGAGAGCAGAGAGCAATTGCTGTCGGTGCTGTAGAACTTGGCTGTGCATCAAACTAATTTTCACAAGTGTTCCTCCTAAACCTCGACCATGGAATTAATAATTTGCCTCTTTATTTATGACCTAATTGTGACTCTTTTTTTAATAAAGCTGATGGGAAAGGCCCCTCCCTGAGGCTGATGACTAGACTCACATTTAACTTCCCCACAGTGTATGAAGCATCAGGCAGAGTATTACAGAAATATAGTATTTTATTGATAAACCTGTCCTTTAAAAGGCACATGTTTTGGGGTGTCATCATTTTGGTGTGAATCATGTAAATGTTGGCTGTATGCTGTTTATTATACTCTAGTGTCAGGACATGCACTCAGCGGCCGTTCTGCCCACACATACCGTGTAGTCTGCAGTTTTTAAAGTGACATTAACAGAATAGATCATGTAGGGAAACCTCAGAGGTCGTCACTTCCCCACTTGTCATGAGTGTCAGCTGCTTTTTTTAGCTGAAGTCATCAGAGTATACCTGCATATACTCCATGTATCACCAGAGGCAGTGTATTTGTGAGCTGTCTGCAACTAAAAATTAGAATAAAACCATTTTCTTGTATTACGGTATTTGTCATTTGCCTTATTGTCATATGTGTGTGTGTGTGTGGGGGGCAGTGGGAAGAAGAGGGATGATGGCTCAGTTGGCCTCTCACACCAAGAGTGTCTCAGGCAGCAGGTCCTGCTGGAAAGCCTCTGCAATGCAGAGGCTTGACACTCCAGGGTCTCCTTGCTGGCCTGCCCTTTGTGGCTTCCAGGGACAAGCAGGAATTCTGGCTGGAAGGACTTGGGATTAAACAAAGATCTGCGACCACTGAGTATGACTGGGAAACAGGGTTGGAGGAGTGGTGGTGTTCAGGCTTATAGATCAAGGGACAGCACTGCACTCGGAGACATTGGTGCTCCCTGTCCAAGCCATGTCCAAGCAAGGGTATTGTCTTTATTTTGTAACCCTGGAAGGGGAACCTGAGGCTTTGCCTATGTTGGCATTGAGCCCACCCCAACCCCTTCCTGGGGGGGTGGTGGTTCTGGACAGGCTTTCTACTGCCAACCCATGACCTCTAGCCCTAAGCCATGTTCTTCCGACACAGCATGTACTGGACAGAAGGTAACCATGTCACCGACACCCGAACAGGTGCTTGTTTGTCTTCTGTTGGGAGGAGAAGGCATTGGGTTACTTACACTGGGAAATGCCATGAAGATGATTGGATCCACTTGGCTCTCCAGAAAACACAGATTGCCTTTTAAATGCCAGGTTCTGGGCCATTCCAGACAGGTGAACAATAACCAAACCACCTGACATGGTGTCTGCCAGCTAGGAGGGGGTAGTCCCCTGGCACAGGTTAGAGGTGGCTAGTGGGGTGTTACTCTGAAGGTGTCTGACAGGACTGAGACCAAATTGGGTAAAGAGAAGAGGAGCTGGAAGACTGGCTCAATGCACTACTGGCTTCTCCACGCCTTAGTTTATAGCCTCCTGAGATCCCGAACTGTACATGATGGGTAGTGGTGATGTCGTAAGGCCACAAAAGAGCTCACCAATGTTGTGCCCCTTCAAGATGGGCAGATGAAATGCAATTCCTCCCCTGTGGAGACATAAGCAACATCTGTCCCTTTCTCATAAGGTCCCAATGACAAACCAGAGTACAGTTTCATCTGAGTTTGCTCTGGACAACCAGTGAATTTATCGGGTGCCTTACAGAGTGGGTGAAGGCTGGCGATGTGGGTGACTAAAACAGCCACACTGGGGGCTGGAGAGATGGCTCAGAGGTTAAGAGCACCGACTGCTCTTCCAGAGGTCCTGAGTTCAATTCCCAGCAACCACATGGTGGCTCACAACCATCCGTTATGAGATCTGGTGCCCTTTTCTGGTGGCAGATATACATGGAAGCAGAATGTTGTATACATAATAAATAAATAAAATCTTAAAAAAAAAAAAACAGCCACACTGTAAAGTCTACACCGAGCATGGATGATGGCTCCCAATAGCTGCATAGACGGAGCCCCATTCATTTAAACTCTTCTGTTTTGTTTTGTTGGTTTTGTTTTTTAACTCTTGTTCTTTGGGGCCCACCACCCTGCCCCCAAATAAGTACATGGAGACTTATTCTTTCTTATAAATACCTGTCCTTAGCTTGGCTTATTTCTAGCCAGCTTTTTATAAATTATCATGTCTACCTTTTGCCTCTGGGATTTTACCTTTTTATGTACTTTACTTATTACTTCGTGGCTTGTTGTGTAGCTGGGTGGCTGGCCCCTGAAGCCCCCCCCTCCTTTTCTTGTCCTTGATCTCTCTTCTCAGATTTCTCCTCCTATTTATTCTCTCTACCTGCCAGCCCCACCTATCCTTTCTCCTGCCTCACTATTGGCCGTTCAGCTCTTAGACCAGTCAGGTATTTCAGATGGCAAAGTAACACAGCTTCACAGAGTTAAACAAATGCAACATAACAGAATGCAACACTTTAATCCCAACACTCAGGAGGCAGAGGCATGTGGATCTCTGAGTTCAAGGCCAGCTTGGTCTACAAAAGCTAGTCCCAGGACAGCTAGGGCTGCACAGAGAAACCCTGTCTTGAAAAACCAAAACAAAAACCCCAAACCAAACAAACAAAAAGAATGCAACACATCTTTGCATCATTAGACAAATGTTACACAGCATAAACAAATGTAGTACATCTTCAACTAATATTCCACAGCACTCTCCAGCCTTTAATACTCTAGCAGCTGCTGAGGTTCCAAGGCCATCTCTATCTAGTTAGGGAGGAACTGCATGCACAAGACTAGGAAGAGTGAAGGCTTTCCTCACACCTTCCCCACTCGAGGGAGTATCAACAGTCCATAAGCCACATGTGATGGACTGGTAAGCAAGCAAGGCTGATCTGATGAAGATGGCGGCTGTTTCTCTTGGGGGACCAAATTCTACAGCATTGCGTCTATGGATGTTGGATTAGGTAGGTCATCTTTCCACAGAGAAGTTCCTGGCCCTGGTACCCACCCTGTGGTCCTATCTCACATCTGCTTTGTGTCCTTTCATACCCTGAGGGGTGAAAGGGGCCCTTGGTCTTGAGAGCCAGGACTTCAGACACAACCCTCACCAACTGGTTCAGATTCCAAAGACTTAACTTGCACAATAATGAGCTAGAAATTTACGGACTCATCTGTGATAATAGTTGTCCTTGTTTGCTTTTCTGTTGCTGTGATACACACCTGACTTAAAAACAACTTGGAAAGAAAAGGGTTTATTTGACAGACAGTTTCCATCATCAAGGGAAACCAAGGCAGGAACTCAAGGAGCTTGAAACAGAAACTATAGGAACACTGTTTGCTGGTTTGCTTAGCTAGCATTTTTATTTATTTATTTATTTTTAAATACAGCCCAGGCACCACTTGCTCAGGGATGGCACCACCCACTCTACAGTCCAGTCTGATAGAGGCAATTTCTCAGTTGAGGTTCCTTCCTCCCAGTTGTGTCAAACTGACAGCCAAGATCAGCCATACACAGTAAGTAGTCAGTTACCAAAGCTTGTTATTCTTGTCACATGAGTCCCAACTATTTAAAATCCCAAATACCAAGGTGATCAGAAATGTGGGTACTGGGGAAAGAATGATGGATGAGCTCAGGGGTGCAGCGCTGTGGGCTCAATAAAGCCTAATGTTCTGTAGTAGAAGAGGATGATTATGGTTGACAGCAATTAATTCTGTTTGTCAGAACAGCTAATTGAGAGGATTTTGAGCGAACCTAAACATGAAGAAATGATAACTGTTCAATATGATGGATATACCACAGATCTCAATCTGATCACATGTGAATAGCAGATTGAAATGTCGCTCTAACCCCAGAAATATGTAAAATTATGTCATTTCTTTTAAATTGAAGAATACAGCTCTTGAAGTAAGAGTTGAAAGCAAGCAAACTGAGTGTGGGGGCATGGAGCTGTGATCCTGGGAGGTGGAGGCAAAGGGGAGTTCAAGGTCATCCTTTGCTATGTATGGAGTCCAGGGCCAGCCTGGACTACATTCAGACTCTATCTCAATAAAACAAAGCAAGTCAAAAGTTACAAGGAAGCAACTCTGTACTGGGAAGGCTGTTTTCGGGAAGGCTGTTTTCCGTTCACAGACAAATGAGTCTAATGTCTCCTCTTCCTGGGAAGAACATGCTTTGCTTTTAAATGGTCTCAGAATGTGTGTGGCCCTGGTTGCTCTGGAACTCGATTTGTAAACCAGGCTGGCCTTGAACTCACAGAGATTCACCTGCCTCTGCCTGAGATTGAAGGCAGAGCTACCACAACAGCAGGAACAGCTTTATACTGAAATGTATAATAATTACACTGAAACTAATTTGTTTGGGATTCAAATCCTCTACTCCTTAGCAATGATTCAATCCCAAGACAGGTTAGTCATTCCTGCCTTTGAGAGGCACAGTGCAGCCATGGAGATTCCAATGTAGATTCTGGTTAAAGTGGGCAGTTCCTGGGCTGGGGGAGAGACCCTGGCTGGAGCTGTGGGTTTAGAAGGGGTGACAGGAAAGAGAGGAAGAAGTCTGGTGACCCTTTCCTCCCCTCTCAACTCTAGCTGCATTGTCCTAACCCCTGGCAAGTCAAGTGGGCCAAGTGGCACAGGCCCTGCATCCAGAGGGGCTTGGGATCTGCAGGGGCCATAGTCAGCCATGATCCACAGGGCTTGGCTTCCCAAAGAGAGCCAGGCAGAGGTGGAGGCTCACTGGAACCTTGCATCTAAAGGATGGTCTCTCTTCTAGACTTGGCAATGCAGTCAGTTTCAGGGCTCACTTCTGCCCCACTTGATCAGATCCATCTGCCTGCTAGCCTGCCTCCCCCACCCCCATCCGTCTGTCTCTTCTTTCTAACTTTTTGGACCAGGTTCTTTTAAAAAAAAACTTTATTTTTAGTGTATGTACATTGATGTTTTGCCTGCATGTATGTGGATGCCAGATCCCCTGGAACTGGAATTAGTTGTGAGCTGCCATGTGGGTGCTGGGAATTGAATCCAGGTCCTCTGGAAGAGCAGTCAGTGCTCTTAGCTGCTGAGCCATCTCTTAAGCCCCCTTGGGCCAGGTTCTTATGTAGGTTCTTGGGCTGGCGTCAAACTCACTAAGTAGCCGAGGATGATCTTGAACTCTTGATCCTTCTGCCTCTACTCCCCAAATTCTGGGATTACAGGATATGACACCACACCTGGATCAAAACTTCCTTTTTGCAGTGCTGAGATTGCTGAGGGTGGAACCTGGAACCTTAGGCAGGTTATATAAGCACTATATCACTGAGCAACAGTCCCCAAATGTGCAGCTTCTCAAGTTGGTCAGGACACCCATCTGTCCTCCTTTAGTTTGAGAATAGCTGTACAAGCAGATTTTCCCATAGAGGTAAATGTTCTTGAAGATAACAGCCAGCCTGTGTCAGTTCCTCTGGAGGTGAGGGTCTGGGTTCTTATTTCACCCAATTAAAATTAATTCATCTTTTAAGAAGGTTCTCACAATGTAGACCAGGCCACTCTCCAACTCTGCCTGCCTCTGCCTCCTGAGTGCTGGGGTTAAAGGCATGCACCTCCATGCCCAG